CCCCCCCCGCTGCACCTTGCCCGTTCTCGACCCGGGGCAGCTACAGCAGCGCCGTCAACAGCTCCAGCAGGTGGGTCCCTGGCCGCCCTCCACTCCTCAGATAACTAAGTCCTGTAGGTGCTTGCACCCTTCGAGTGCAGACGCTCAGTGGCCACGGCCTGCTGTCCTGTCCCAGACCTCTCCTGTCTCTTCTCGACAAGCCTCTGCCCTCTCCCGGGGTCGGTGCCCCCATGTTGGTGCCCAGCCTCAGCTGTGCATCATTTAACTTAGTAGAATTACGTTCCAATTCAAGAGGCAGTAAACATCCTAAGTATTACATGAAGATCTACAGCCGCCCTGGGTGTTGAGGAAGCGGCTTTACAGGACGTGTATTTTGACCTTACGGCGGCGGCGGAGCTGAGCAGTTACAAGGGGAAGGCTCTGGCCCCCGCCCGGCCGCCGAGAGGTGCAGGAGGTGCCGTGCGCAGAGGTGGCGGCCTCCCGACAGGCAGGCGGGACCCCCTCGACGGCGCTCCTCCCTGGAGGCCCGGAGCCCCGCCGTGTTCGGCTTAGTGTAACAGGAGCCCCGGTGTGAGTGAGGAGCCCAGAACGAGTTCTTGGCGTGTGCCAGCATGCCGTCAGCACCGCACGCCCTCCCCGGCAAGCCCGCCTCAGTGCTGTCACCACCCCTACTTTGCACGTGGGGAACCACCCAGCCTGAACCTACAGCCGACCCGCCTGGTTGGTCTCTCCTGCCAAAGAGCCAGGGAGCAAGCTGCCCTGCTTGGGGCCCTTGCCGAACCAGGCCCCTTACCAGGTCCTGATGGGGGCTGGAGACTGGAACCCTGCCGCATAGCATTGCCCACCAGTGAGCCCTTGTTCTCCTCCTTGGCCCACGACCCGGTGGCTCCCTATCTAGTATTCTTTAAAATGGGATTGCAGCCTTTCCACCCCTAAATGCTCATCCCTGCCCTGGTCTCTTCCCTAGGGGCCTTCTGTCTTCACACCTTTCCCCGAAGTCCCTTATGTCCCATCAGACAGCACAGTCTTAGGTCTGGGAGCATTTTATGTGAGGCCAGGCCATGCTCTGGGGGCTGCCCTGGACTATTTCCAGGTCCCCGTCGAAACCTGGGCCCAGCCACAGTGAGGGCACTGCATGAGCTCAGTCCTGGGGCAGCCACACCGCCCAAGGCAAGTGCCCCCAACGGGCCTCCACCCTGGACTAATGAGGAATGGCCCCTCTCTTTGCTTCTTCCTTCAAGTGACCCTAAAAGCAAGCAGCCAAATGGAAGCAAACACAAATTGACAAAAGCAGCCTCACTCCCTGGCAGGAACGGCAACCCCACTTTTGCTGCAGTCACCGCCGGGTATGACAAGAGTCCAGGTGAGTTGCTTGGTGTCCCGCCTGTCACACCTGGGCTTCGGGCACTGTGGAATTGCCTTTGATTGATTCAGAATCCATTGTTACAGGCGGGAATGGCTTTGCTAAAGTTTCTTCAAACAAAACAGATTTTTCCAGCAGCCTTGGCATTTCACACACTCCTGTCGACAGCGATGGCTCAGACAGGTACGGTAGACCATTCTTAATCAAAAGAAAAAGTCAAGGTTAGCTTCTTCCATCCATACCTGTGTTCCCCCGAGATTCCAAGTAGGCCATCACCGCAATCAGGCACCTCTAGGAGCTCTTGTCTGTTGGGTGGAAGCAGAAAGCCCGGTTGCTGTGCTTCCCCTGGTGACCCCCCCGACAGAGGGGCAGGTGTGTGTTCATCCTTCATCCCTGTCGCGGTCTGTCATACGAAAGGATGTGAGCTGATAGCGATAGGAGAAGGAAACGAGTTCGTACTAGACAGTGTGTAGTAAATTACTGGAGATGCCACTCTCCTGACCCAGAGCAACCCCCCTGGTCACCGTGACCTGCTCCGATTGCCTTGGTTCATTTTCCCAGACAAATAACAGTAAAGACTGTCGGTACAGCCCCAGTTTTACCTACCTTGTACTAAAGGGGAGGAGTCCTAGATTTGAAATTTTTTAAATAAATCTTCCATTACCAAAAAGCAAACATAAGGGGAAAAAAAAATACCTGTTCTCTCTGCAGAACACTTGCTTTGAACCAGGCTCACAGCTTCTGGGAGCCTAGGAGCTCAGAACCTCTCTGTGCCTGAATCCTTTGTGGCGTAGAGAAGCCTTTGTCTTTCATATCTGAGTGCCCCCAGGTGAAGCAGCACCCGCGGTGTCTGAAGCCGTGTGTAACAGGCCCGTTCCCACTAACCATTATACATCTCTGTGTTGCGTTTTCCTCCTGTAACATCCAGCTCGGGTTTGTGGAGTCCCGCCAGCAACCCCAGCAGCCCTGACTTCACACCCCTCAATTCGTTCTCGGCCTTTGGAAATTCTTTTAACCTAACTGGTGGTGAGTGTTTAACACTAGACCTGTAACTAATAAGCCTGTGGACAAAGAAGAAAGGAAGATGCGGTCTAGTTTTATGTGTGGAGAAATACACTGAACTAGGAAAGCCTTTTTTTTTTTCAGATTTATTTGATAGAGAGTGAGAGCGCGAGCCAGCACAAGTGGTGGGGGCAGAGGGAGAAGCAGGCTTCCCGCTGAGCAGGGAGCCCATTGGGGGGCTCAATCCCGGGACCCCAAGATCACCTGAGCCAAAGGCAGATGCCCAACTGAGTCACCCAGGCGCCCCAAGCCTGTCATTTAGGAGGCATTTCTAAGAGGTGTTTCTTTGTGTAGTTAGGTACCAACAGAAGATATGCAGGCTGACTTGAGGGCAACAGGGCTCCCGCAGATAGATGCTCGGGAGCCCGGGCCTACCCAGCCCCTGGGACGGCGGCCCACAAAGGGGGAGGCTCCGCAAGAAGCTCACAAAAGGGTCTCCTGTTCTGCCCCCCCCCCCCACCAACCAGCCCAAAGGTCTGGTGGAGCCAGCTCAGTGCCCTGAGTGCCAATCGGTTTGTGTTCCCCAGCATTTATTTAGAACTTTGAGAAAGGATTGTGTGTCTGAAAGATGACTGCTGGCCATGCTGGGCTCCTTACTTGGTGTCCAAAACTAGAGGCAGCAATGTGAGCTTTGCCTCAGTGGCGGTCATGTTAGCGATGGGACGTTTGCACTTGATGTCGTCCCATGATGGGTGCGGGGAAAGAGCTCAGATCGTGGGCCATGTGCCCCGTTCTCCCCAGGGTGTGGTGGGAGCTGGCAGAGCAGGTGGGGGGGAACATGTGCCTCTGAGTGAAGGCCCCGTCTTACCCTAGGTGAGTGAGCATGGCACAATAATACAGACTTGACTTCCTCCTTATTTGCAGAAGTTTTCAGCAAACTCGGGTTATCTCGGTCATGCAATCAAGCCTCCCAGAGAGGCTGGAACGAGTTTAGTAGTGGCCCTTCCTACCTTTGGGACTCCCCAGCAACGGATCCCAGCCCTTCCTGGCCAGCCAGTTCCAGTTCCCCGACCCACACGGCCACAGTGAGTACTCGGGGCTTGGCCTCGCCTGCTCCCTCATCATTGCTGCTCTTACTGTCACTGTTACTCATGCGGCACTGATGCCCTCGTAAGAGGCCAGATAGCAGCATGGAAGGGGCAGGTTAGTTCTTACGGCCTCCATGGCTGTGTCTTCATATTCTGCCAGAGTGACCCATCCATAGTCTTCAGCGATAGGAAGCACAAGTGAGCACCTGTGGGGTAGGTCTCCGAGTTGAGCACAGTCGGTCCAGCCTCTCCCCAAGCTGTAAATCAGCCTGCCGGTGCGGCTGAGGGCCAGACCGCGGCAGGGCGTGGCTGTAGCCCCGCGGGCCCCCAGGAGCAGGCGGCTGGAAAGTTGCAATGATTTTGCTTCTGGGGGGCACCTCTGTCTTAGCTTGAGCTTTTCCAGTATACAGTTGTTGGTTTTTCGGCTAAATTTTTCTGTCAAGATCATGCTCCAAAAAAGTATTCTTACCAAGAGAATTACTGGTTTCAGCTTTCACAAAATTATGACAGAAAACTACCCCACTGGGACTCCTCCTCCGTTCTCAGGAAAACCAGACAAGCAGGGTTGGAGGTAGATATTTTACCTTCCTAGATTTCAGGGCTTGTCTTTACTTGTAAGTCATTCTGGCTTCAGTTTTAAAGAATGGTTAAGACGCTGTTAAAACGGGGGTCAGTAGATATTTTAGGCTTCGCAGGCCATCCTGCTTCTGTGCGTCTGGTCACCTGTGCCCCCCTCCACCAGCGGGTACCGCTGTGTCCCAGCCGACCTCTCACTTCAGAAACAGACGGGGCTGGGGGCGGCCCACTGACTGTAGTTTGCCAACCCTTCTTTAAACTAGCAGCCCCGTCTGCTCAGACTCTGAGATGGCTATATGTATGAAACATTTGTTTCAAAATAAGGTGAAAGAAGCTGTGGCCCAGCCCCGATTTTTAGCATAAGCTTCACCAGTGTACCCGCTGCGTGCCTGTCAGTCCCGATGCTCCATGCTGCGTGTTTTCTGTCTTGTCAGTCGATCCTTGGCAACACCAGTGGCCTGTGGTCCACCACTCCATTCAGCAACTCGATCTGGTCCAGCAGCTTGAACGGTACCCTGCCCTTCACCACTCCAGCCAGCACGCTGCCAAGCATTGGCCTCATGGGCGCCGAAAACTCTGCTCCTCACGCTCCCTCCACCTCCAGCCCAGCCGACGACTTGGGGCAGACGTACAACCCCTGGCGGATATGGAGCCCCACAATCGGAAGAAGAAGCTCTGACCCTTGGTCTAACTCACACTTCCCTCATGAGAATTGAAATTAGGCGACGACAACAACAACAAGTGGGGGCCCCTTGTCTAGATCATGATATGCCAGTTTGTGAGACATCTTCCTAAGGCTGTTACTGCGGTGGCTTCCCACTGCCCACCCTCCTCGTCTTTGCAAAACAAACAGACTCAAGCAGGGCAGGCTTGTACCACTCGCTTCTTTCAGATCTTTCTTGCAATTATGATAATATGAGATTTGCTGTTGTGCTTTTAGGGAAAAGTCTGGACTCAGCCACAAACTCTAATAAGACCTGTACATCTGAAAACCTTAACTGCTATCAAGTTTCCACCACCTGTCTTCTTCCATCCTTTATTTATCTGTATGAACACAAATTTGACATTTACAGCTAAGGAAATAATTTGAGTTGATTCAGAAGTCCTGGCATGTAACAATTTTATTAAATTACCAAGTTTGGTTTTTAATAATTTCACAATATTATGCACCAAAATCTAATTTTAAAAATGTATGAGGACTTTGTGCTGAAAAATACAGAGTATTTTTTTAAAATAAGGCTGTCTTGGTTTAAAAGCAGATTACAGAAATGTAAGTCAACTTTAAGAACAGTGAATGAATGTAAAAACATTCGGTTGAGACCATATGCATTTTCTGTGCTGTTTGTACTTGAGGTATGTACCATTTGTATACCTGAATTTATTTTAAAGATAAACTGAAATGCACATAGCCAAGTCTTGGGATACAAGATTGAATGTGTATTTCTTAAAAATACAACTTTGTGTTGTACTTTGAAATAAATGATGCTTTTTTCAAAAGCCTTGAATTGCTGTGTGTCTCTTCTTTACAGCAAGATGAATTTATTTGGACTCTCTCACCCCAAAGTATACCATTCTCTCACTGCCTTATTCTGTGCAGTTTGATTTATTGTGGCTGGAATCCCCTGTGGTCTAATTAAATTCCATGTCTTTCCATGGTGGTCACAGAAGGTCCTTAAGAGAAAATAATTGACACATCTAAAATTTATTCTTCCTTTTAAATAGAAGCATGTTGACCCTTTTCCAATGTTAAAATTCCCACAAATCCTCCAAATGGTACGTGTAGAAACAACACATATCAGGCAAGTTGGGCATGCCGTGATGCGTCAGCCTAGTTTACTGTTTCACACAATCTTGCCTGCTCCAACTGCTTCTCTCACCCGCTTATTTCCAGTCTGTTTTAAAGCCAGCCTTTGAACACAGCCTTGCTGGGTAACCCGGAGACGCTAAACACAGACTTTCTGTTTGAGGTCAGTTACAACATGAAGAAATCCAGCCATCCCCGAGGTCAGAGTGGTTTCGGTGAAACGTACAAAATGAATTTGAGTCCGACCTCTTCTCTGTGTTACACTAAGTCTCAGTGGAACCAGCCACATCGCTTTTCCAACCTGTGGTTTGTCCCAGATTCCTGTACAATCTGAGCCCTGCTGCTCTGGGCCCATGGCAGACGTGGCCCTCATACAGTCTCACTAGCGGGAGCACCTGTGTGCACTTGCAAAACTGGGACACATTTAAGGCTGGAGATTTTCCGCCAAAGCAAATAAGGTGTTACAAAGCAATGAAAACAGGTGAGCTTCATATTAACCCTCTGGTTCCAAACTTCACCTCAATAAAGGTATCTCATTAAGGGCTCCTGAACGTCTTCCTAAGAATCACCTGACACTCCCAAATGCCGCCGCCTTTTAAGTTCTAGTTTCACCCCATGCTGCTCTCATCCCAGGACTGAGAAACACCATTCACATGAAATGAAAAAAATACAAGACCTTCTGCTGTTACTTTGTTACTTCCAAATAACTCTCCCAGTAGGTGTTTGCCTGGCAACATACCCACCTAACCTGAACTTTTTTTTTTTTTTTAAAGATTTTATTTATTTGAGAGAGAGAATGAGAGGAAAGAGGGTCAGAGGGAGAAGCAGACTCCTTGCTGAGCAGGGAGCCCAATGTGGGACTCGATCCCGGGACTCCAGGATCATGACCTGAGCCGAAGGCAGTCGCTTAACCAACTGAGCCACCCAGGCGCCCTAACCTGAACTCTTTTTTTTTTTTTAAGATTTTATTTAAATCTTAAATTGCGAGAGAGGCAACACAAGCAGGGGGAGTGGGAGAGGGAGAAGCAGGCTTCCCGCTGAGCAGGGAGCCCAATGTGGGGCTCGATCCCAGGACCCTGAGATCATGACCTGAGCCGAAGGCAGTCGTTTAACCAACTGAGCCACCCAGGCGCCCCTGAACTCTTGACAGGATTCAGTCTAACAGTTTAAGTAAAAGCTCGGGATGCCTGGGTGGCTCAGTCAGTTAAGCATCTGCCTTCGGCTCAGGTCACAATCCCAGGGTCCTGGGATCGAGCCCCTTATTGGGCTCCTGGCTCAGCAGGGAGTCTGCTTCCCCCTCTACCTGCCACTTCCCCTGCTCCTTCTCTCCCTCATTCTCTCTAATAAATAAATAAAAATCTTTAAAAAATAAAGTAAATGCTCTGGGGCATCTGGATGGCTCAGTCATCCGTGAGAAGTCAGCTTGGGATTCTCTTCCTCTCCCTCTGCCCCTCCCCCTGCTCATGCTTGCTCACTCCCTCTCTCTCTCAAAGTAATAAATCTTCAAAAAAATAAAATATAAATGGAATAAATGCTCCAATCAAAAGACATAGGGTAGCAGAATGGATAAAAAAACAAGACCCATCGATGTGCTGCTTGTAAGAGACTCAGACACAAAGACACCTCCAGATTGAAAGTGCGGTGGGTGGAGAACCATTTACCATGCTAATGGACATCAAAGGAAAGCTGGGGTAGCAATCCTTATAACAGACAAACTAGATTCTAAACCAAAGACTGTAGTAAGGGATGAGGAGGGACACTATATCATAATAAAAGGGTCTATCCAACAAGATCTAACAACTCTAAGTATTTATGCCCCTAACATGGGAGCAGCCAAATATATAAACCAATTAATAACAAAATTAAACACATTGACAATAATAAAATAATAAGAGACTTTAATGCCACACTTACAGCAATGGACATACCATCTAAGCAGAAGATCAACAAGGAAACAAGGGTTTTAAATGACACACTGGATCAGATGGACTACACAGATCTATTCAGAGCATTTCATCTTAAAACAACAGAATACACATTCTTCTCGAGTGCACATGGAACATTCTCCAGAATAGATCACATACCAGGTCACAAATCAGGTCTCAACCAGTGTAAAAAAAAAAAGATTGATATTATTCCATGCATATTTTCAGACCACAATGCTTTAAAACTGGAAGTCAACTAAAGAAAAAATTTGGAAGGAACACAAATAACATGGACTTTAAAGAGCGTCCTACTAAAGAATGAATGGGTCAACCAGGAAATTAAAGAGGAATTTTAAAAATACATGGAAGCAAATGAAAATGAAGACAATTCGGAACCTTTGGGATGCAGCAAAGGCAGTCCTAAGAGGGAAGTATACAGCCATACAGGCCTTTCTTGAGAAACAAGAAAAGTGTCAAATACACAACTTAACCCTACACCTAAAGGAGCTGGAGGAAGAACAGCAAACAAAGCCTATAAATCAATGACACAGAAATCAAAGGAACGGTAGGACAGAGAAACAAAACTAGGAGCTGGTTTCTTTGAGGGTTTTCTGTTTGTTTTTTTAAAGATTTTATTTACTTATTTGAGAAAGACAGAGTGAGAGAGAGAGCACAAGCAGGGGGAGTGGCAGGCAGAGGGAGAAGCAGACCCTGCTGAGCAGGGAGCCCAAGATTCAGGGCTCGATCCCAGGACTCTCATAAGTAACCTGAGCCCAAGGCAGACGCTTAACTGACTGAGCCGCCCAGGCGCCCCAGGAGCTGGTTCTTTGAAAGAATAAGAACGATAAGCCCCTAGTCAGACTCATCAAAAAGAAAAGAGAACCCAAATAAATAAAATCATGAATGAAAGAGGAGAGATCACAACCAACACTGAAGAAATACAAAGAATTATAAGAGAATATTATAGGCAATTATAATGCCAACAAATTAGGCAATCTCGAAGAAATGGATGCATTCCTAGAAACATATAAACTACCAAAACTGAAACAGGAAGAAATAGACAACCTGAATGGACCCATAATCTGCAAAGAAATTGAATCGGTAATCAAAAATCTCCCAACGAGCAAGAGTCCAGGTCCAGATTGCCTCCCAGCAAAATTCTACCAAACATTTAAAGAAGAATGAATACCTAGTTTTCTGAAACTGTTTCAAGAAACAGAAATGGAAGGAAAACTTCCAAACTCATTCTGTGAGGGCAGCATCACCTTGATCCCAAAACCAGACAAAGGCTCCACCAAAAAGGAGAATTACAACCAATATCCCTGATGAAAAAGGATGCAAAAATTCTCACCAAGATCCTAGCCAATAGGAGCCAACAGGACATTAAATGGATTATTCACGGGGCGCCTCGGTGGCCCAGTCGATTAAGCGTCTGCCTTCAGCTCAGTTCATGATCCTGGAGTCCTGGGATGGAGCCCCGTGTTGGCCTCCCTGCTCAGCGGGGAGTCTGCTTCTTCCTGTGCCTCTCCCCCCTGGCTTGTGCTCTCTCTCCCTCTCTCTCTCTCTCTCAAATAAATAAAACCTTTAAAAAAGTTAAAAAATAAAAGGATTATTCACCATGACCAACTGGGATATATTTCCAGTGGCTCAAGAGTGGTTCAACATCCACAAATCAACTAATGTGATACACCACATTAATAAAAGAAAGGACAAGAACCATATGATCCTCTCAATAGATGCAGAAAAAGCATTTGACAAAATACAGCATCCTTTCTTGACAAAAACTCTCCACCGTGTAGGGATAGAGGGGACGTACCTCAATATCATAAAAGCCATATACGAAAAACCCACACCCGTCCTCAACGGGAAAGAACTGAGAGCTTTTCCCCTAAGGTCAGGAACATGACAAGGATGTCCTCTCTCAGCACCGTTGTTCAACATAGTACTGGAAGTCCTAGCCTCAGCAATCAGACAACAAAAAGAAATAAAAGGCATCTAAATCGGCTAAGAAGTCAAACTTTCACTCTTCACAGACCACATAATACTATATGTAGAAAACCCAAAAGACCCCACAAAAAAATTGCTAGAACTGATACAGGAGTTCAGCAAAGTGGCAGGATATAAAATCAGTGCACAGAAGTCAGTTGCATTTCTATACACTAACAATGAGGCAAAAGAAAGAGGAATCGATCCCATTTACAATTGCACCAAAAACCGTAAGATACCTTGGAATAAACCTAAGAGATAAAGGATCTGTACTCTGAAAACTATGGAAGACTTATGAAAGAAATTGAGGAAGACACAGGAAATGAGAAAACTATGACTCATGGATTGGAAGAAAAAATATTGTTAAAATGTCTATGCTACCCAAAGCAATCTACTCATCTAGTGAAATCCCTATCAAAATACCAACTTTTTTAACAGAGCTGGAACAAACATCCCAAAATTTGTATGAAACCAGAAAAGACGCTGAATAGCCAAAGGAATCTTGAAAAAGAAAACCAAAGCTGGTGGCATCACAGTTCTGGACTTCAAGCTCTATTACAAAGCTGTAGTCAGCAAAACAGTATGGTACTGGCACAAAAACAGATACATAGATCAATGGAACAGAATCGAGAGCCCAGAAATGGACCCTCAACTCTATGGTCAACTAATCTTCGACAAAGCAGGAAAGAAATTTATTGAATAAAATAAATGTCCTTTTTCCATTGTATGTTCTTTCTTGCTCAACATCGCTTGGCATCAGGGAAATACAAATCAAAACCACAA